GGCCCCCTCCCTCTAAACACCTGCCTCCGCCCGCCCGGGGAACCCCGGCCAGACTGGAGTGGTTCACTTTGTAACTCCGAAAGTTGGTCGGCAAAGCAGCATTCACCTTCCAGCCTCACCACCATCCATCCCTCCTCCTCGGCTACTCCGTACCCCACCTCCTGCCCTCCCTCTCTCGGTCCCCTCCTCCTTCCCCTCCTCCGCCCCCCCTCCCCCGTACGCCGCCCGCACCCCACAAAATACGGGGGGAAGGGGGTGGGGGGAGGGGGAAAGAAATGCTTCGGGTCGAGTGTCTGTCCCCCACCCCCCCCCTCTCTTTCCCCCTCTTTGAAACCTAAAAATCCTGACAAGTGAAACTTAAAGGTGTTTACCTTGTCATCAGCATGTAAGCTAATTATCTCGGGCAAGATGTAGGCTTCTATTGTCTTGTTGCTTTAGCGCTTACGCCCCGCCTCTGGTAGCTGCCTAAAACCTGGCGCCGGGCTAAAACAAACGCGAGGCAGCCCCCGAGCCTCCACTCAAGCCAATTAAGGCGGACTCGGTCCACTCGGTTACGTGTACATCCAACAAGATCGGCGTTAAGGTAACACCAGAATATTTGGCAGAGGGAGAAAAAAAAAAAGCTGCGAGTCTTCGCCTTCCCCCTCTCCCTTTTTTTTCCTCCTCTTCCTTCCTCCTCCAGCCGCCGCCGAATCATGTCGATGAGTCCAAAGCACACGACTCCGTTCTCAGTGTCTGACATCTTGAGTCCCCTGGAGGAAAGCTACAAGAAAGTGGGCATGGAGGGCGGCGGCCTCGGCGCTCCGCTGGCGGCTTACAGGCAGGGCCAGGCGGCGCCTCCGGCCGCGGCCATGCAGCAGCACGCGGTGGGGCACCACGGCGCCGTCACCGCCGCCTACCACATGACGGCGGCGGGGGTGCCCCAGCTGTCGCACTCCGCCGTGGGGGGCTACTGCAACGGCAACCTGGGCAACATGAGCGAGCTGCCGCCGTACCAGGACACCATGCGCAACACCGCCTCGGGCCCCGGATGGTACGGCGCCAACCCAGACCCGCGCTTCCCCGCCAGTAAGTGAGGCCGCCCCGCCGCGGGGCCGCGTGCTAACCGCGGGAGGAGCGGGGAGAGCCGCCGGAAAGGCGCGGCGCCCGCGGGCTGTGCGCCGGGAATCGGGGTGGGCGGCCCGGCAGCGGCGCCAGGGAGTCGGGCGCGGGAGCTGGGGATTCTTCCCTTTGCTGGGCTGAGGGTCCAGGAGACTTAGTGGCGGGACTTTGGGGCAGGCGCCGGCATTCGGCGTCTCCCAGAGGAGGCCCCCTAGCAACTCTGCTCGGCGCTGGAGACCTCGGCGCGCCCGCGGAGGAGCCCCCGAACTTAGGGAGTGGGGGCAAGCGGGGTGCCTACAGGTGCGGCCTGTCCGGGCGGGGAGCTGCGGTGCCGGGACGCGCTCCGGCGCCGGGCGGCTCCTCTCCAGTCTAATCAGGTGGGAGGGCGCGCGGCTCCAGAGCGGGATCTAAATGGTCCGAGCAAGTGCCAGCACTGGGGCTGACAGGAGAGCGCGGCCAAGACACAGAGCGTCCGGGGGCTCTGGCTTTCTGAATACCTCGATCTCCTAAACTCCCAAAGTTGGGGTCTTGCCGTGGAGCCCCACCTCCTGGCCTGGGCCCACTTCGCCGCCCCGCCGGGGGCCCGTTAACCCCGCGACTCGGGCCACGGTTGGGTGCGAAAGGAACGACTGTACTTTTTGGGTGGGGTACTGAGGCTGCGGGAGGTAACCGGGGTTGAGGCGGGAACTCTCCAGTCAACCCCTCGACGGCACGGGCAGGGCAGGCGCTGGAGATGCCCAATGCTGCGCCTCTCAGGGCGAGGCGGCCTAGGTGAGGAGGGCGCCGTCGGGGCCGGGCCGGCCAAGGGCCCGGACGGGAGAGGTGGCCTGGCCCGGCCTGGCCCCGGCCGACGCTGTGCGTTTGTCGCTTACAGTCTCCCGCTTCATGGGCCCGGCGAGCGGCATGAACATGAGCGGCATGGGCGGCCTGGGCTCACTGGGGGACGTGAGCAAGAACATGGCCCCGCTGCCGAGCGCACCGCGCCGCAAGCGCCGGGTGCTCTTCTCCCAGGCGCAAGTGTACGAGCTGGAGCGACGCTTCAAGCAGCAGAAATACCTGTCGGCGCCGGAGCGCGAGCACCTGGCCAGCATGATCCACCTGACACCCACGCAGGTCAAGATCTGGTTCCAGAACCACCGCCTACAAGATGAAGCGGCAGGGCCAAGGACAAGGCGGCGCAACAGCAGC